TAGAAAACTTATCAGAAAATGACACTGATTGTGAAAACATTTCACAACAACTGCCACAATGGGAAGAGTCTGGGTCTTTTGTTAACACAACTGAAGAAACACTTCAGCCTGATTGTAACAATTACAACTGGCAAAATAACAAGTGCAAGTATGAACACCATATTATAGGAGAAATGCCTTCCTGGGTAAAATCTAAAAAGGACACATTTTCAGTTGCATTGCCCCAACAAAATATTGATATTAGTACTTTTAGTGATATGCAAGCACATGCATACAACATGATAAATGCACATTCTGAACAAGCTTCTCCAAAAGATCCATTGTTACTCATTGTGAATGGAGTTGCTGGAACTGGTAAAAGTTATCTGATCAATGCCATTCAAAGTCTACTCGGAACATCTTGTGCAGTGACTGCCACCACTGGCAAAGCTTCCTTTAACATAAATGGCTGTCGCTGATAAACCATTGTACCATTCTAAACCTACCAGTTCTGTAGGCAAACAAGGTCATTTAGCGTACCTAATGTTTAACAACGTAATAAAACTGTCAGTAAACCAAAGAGCTCAAGGTACAAATCCAGAACAATGTCAGTTTAGAGATTTATTCATGCGGCTACGCACAGGAGATTGTACAGAAAAAGACTGGAAACTTCTCTTGACTAGACAACCTTCTAATACAACAAACTTGACCGAGTTTCAAAATGCCACAAGACTATATTTTAGCAATGAAGAAGTTGCAAATTACAACTTTGAAAAACTGTCTGCACTTCATAACCCAATAGCACGTGTCAATGCACGTCATTCAAGTGATTTAGCTAAGAAAGCTAGCCCTGATGAAATGGCAGGACTAAAACCTTGTGTTTTCCCTGCAAAAGGGGCACAAGTAATGCTTACTATGAATTTGAGGACAGATGTTGGGCTTTGCAATGGGGCAACTGGAACTGTTATAGACTTCATTTATGCAGACAATCACCAGCCTCCTGACTTACCTCAGGCGGTTATTGTGAAATTTGACAACTACAAAGGCCCATCAATTAGCAAGTCCATTTCATCATGCGTTCCTATATGCCCAATCAGAGTTACTTCTCAATCTCTTGATGGAATGCATGAGCGACAA